ACTTTATTCCTAAGTTGCTCTGCTTCAAATCCTGGGATTTTGTTGTTTTGAATAGGTGTCAACGATAGCCATGTGATGTATCAGTCACATGGAGGCAGTGCTTAAAAGCCTGAATTTTGCCTGAAACTCTCAGACTGAAGAAGTCTCTTGGAGGAGAGACGAAACTTTCATTAGAGAAGAACCCGTCCAGAAGACCTATACTAATTTTTTCTTTTTGATTTTTTACCTGGATTACTGAGATGCATCAGGACACTTTATTTTACAGTTAAAACAAGTGTTAAATGGTAATCGTGAATCCCTTTAATGCATGAAATTGAATAATGTCTTGACTGATGTTTTGTATTCTGGGTTGATTATAAAACTATGGATGGCAGAGGTTTACTGATAAAACAGTCTTAACATGCCACATCTGTAAATGACATCATGATTTATTTTCTTTAGTAAGCATTTTGTGTATCTGTCATCAGACACTTGGCCAGCAGAGCACAGCTGGGATCACCAGTCACCATCAAGCTTCTGCAGCAGCCATCGAAACCAGAGAAAGGTAGATATTCCCTCACAGACACGAGAGGGCTAGTCACTGATGTTTTTTTTTAAATTATTAATTAATTTATTTTTTATGTGGTTTAGAGAAGCTGCCTCTTGATTGGAAAGAAGACATGCAAACACAATCTGAATTCTTGGACAGAAAGGTGATCCTTTATTTGGACCATAAGATACTTAAAAACTGGTTTTTTTTTTTCACTGTAAATACTGTTTCCTCCTGAAAATGTTATTTTATCCTTTAAGTAGAATTTAGTTTAAATGTGTTTATATTTTGATGTGGCAGGAGGAACTAAAGGCAGACCATGCGTCCTACCTGAAGGAGCACCCAGAGGTCCGAGCCCTCCTTTCTGACTTCATGCAGTTCCTGCTGCTGAGAAAACCAGATGATATCTTTCAGTTTGCAAGAGAATACTTCAGTCTGTTTGCCTCCCGTCATCCTCCAGAARCAAATGTGACAGTCCAGTCATCCTGAAAACACTCCAAACAGCACACCATCCTGTCCTGAAAACTGTCATTTTACAAGTTTTATTTATTTGTTCATAATATATCACATTAAAAAACATATTAGGAAATAGAGGTGTCATTTTGTTACTTAAGATTTAGAGATTTATTTATTTAACTTTAGAGAAAATAAAAAATGAGTGTGATTTTAAACCGGTGTGGAAGTTGGACATGTCTGGGCAAAAAGCACTGAAAGCGGAAAAAGTTGGTTCCTTCAAAATAAAAGTTTGCACAATCAAAAACAAATACGAAAAATGCTTACCTGTCTTAAAATACTGAACTGTGTGAGTCTGGTGTGTGAACGTCTCATGTTGATTACACTAACAAAACTTAATAAGTGGGAATAGTATATTTAAATCTAAACTTAAAGTATTGTCAACTTTTATTTAGTCGGGGTTCATCTTTATGTCATTTCCTCCAAAAGTGAAACTCACTTTTTTTTCAAGGCAGACAAATTGATGTTCGACAGGGAGAGGCGTGTAACTTAAACTAAGATCAAATTTATAAAAGATTTTAGTTTTGAGAAGAATTACACGACCAAACAACAGCAGTGGAGCCATTTCTCCTTTGCTTTGAGCTGTTATTTAACAGGTGAGTCGTCTTRAGTCAGTGAGAACATCGTAATTTCATTTTTAGTTCAGTCATCGAAAGTTTTGCCGGTGTAGCAGACAAATTTATCAATGTCAACTATCCAAAAGTGTTTTAACGCTGTTCAGTCATTAGAAATGACTTTTTTCTTTTTGTTTTCTACCGCGTTAAAACTTTCTGAAGTTATTTTTGCGATGTGACGTCATCACCGATAAGAACTTTTATTTTTACAAGAAGTAAAAACTGTGAAACTACCCCTGATGGAACGTAATTTGTAGAACTTGATTAATTTTGAACATATAAATTTGATATTGACTATGGGAATTACAATTTTAAACAATTTAATTCAGAAATCACTCCATTTTGTGTAGTAAGTCTTGTTAACGAAACTAGTATGGTGGCTAGGCGGAAGTAGAGCTGGTGTCCCATTTCATAAACATCTTTAGGTGGAAAGAAGATGAAGAAAAAGTATTAATTGGATTAGTAGAAGAACTAAATATATAAACAATCAACTAAAACACAAARGGAGGTCTTTTTGAATATAAACTCAAATTCTGAAGGTTGTGCAAAAATGACAAAGAAAGAAAGTAAACAATGACACAGTTTCTGAGGAGTCTCAGGAGTAACTGTGATGAAGATGAAACTCCAGCATCTTCTTCATGGCTGTTACTGGACTGCAGACAGACAGACGTGTCAGTAGGTTTTAATGTTGAAATAAATGTAAAAATCTGTTTTTATGGACTCCTTAAAGGAAATGGAGATGTTCGTTGTGGTTGGAGATGTGTGTGTCATTGATACACATATGGAAAACAAGAGCAAACACTGTTTTAGGACAAAAAAAGGATCATTAATGATGCTGTTTTTAAAAACATTGTGACAAACCTCAGGAMGAGAACTGTGGACCTCAGATGTAAATCACCTCTGACTGGTGCATCTACTAGCATTTTGATTCCTTTTTTCCTTTTTTTTTTTCCTGTAGTGTATTGTATTTTGATTACTTTTTCTAAGTTAGYCTTTAATGCAAGTGTGACCATTGCTATTTCAGGGGGGCACACTCACATAATGCAATATTTTATGATACATTCACATTACAGCACAAGCCTATTGTTTTATGTCTTAAAACTGAAAATAAAAAAGATTGCAGACTGCACATCGAGCCCTTATTGTTGTCTTATTGAACACATCTAAGCCTTGCCCTTTAATATTGTTCCATGTCGATCCCGTGTTAAAGATTTGCTGCCAGATGTTGCCATATTTCTATTAAATGGTTCTGAATCCAGAACCACAGTTGTTGTTTGTATCAGTTCAGTGGTTCAGAAAAGATTTCTGTTCATACTAATAGGTATGCATTGTCTGAGTGCCAGACAATACAGCCGTCAGAGGTTTTCCATGTATTCCTCAAAATTTCCAACTACGGTACACGTCTTTAAAAGCACATGCAGTGACTTGTCGGTCTACAGGTGTGGACCTGTGGTCCAATCAGGTGCCATAGTGAGGAGTGTCACTCCTCTGGCTCAGCTCCTGCTGTTGGGTTTCATTTATTTTTGTTGTATTAACGTAAAAACTACWCATTTTATGACCCCAACTTGCCTGTTTGTGTCATGCAGATTTTTACGTGACCTAAAAAAGCCACACAGATGTTTTATTTGTGGTGGTCTCTGTTTATTACTCCTCTTCACCTTCATCTTGTCTGACAGTTTGAACCTGAGGGCTGCGAGCTGAAAACTACGTGCGCGCTGGTGGCAGCTGGCAGGAGATGGACCGGCTGCTGTTGTCGCGCATTGATGAGGAGCTGGAGTCCTCTGAGGTGGCAGAGCTCTGCTTCCTCTGCAGTGATGTTGTCAACAGGAAGCGCCTTGAAGGGGTGAGAATAATAAAGATGTMTGATGTATTTTAGAGAAACACATATTACAGGAAACAGACAGACTGTGTTTTGTTTTCTCCAGCACATCTGTATATTCAGATCTACACAGGCTTTCTGTAGTTTCTCTGCTCAGAATAAGTCATTGTGTATTTCTTTGTCCTACAGATTACAGATGCAAAAGAGCTGTTCTTGAGACTTGAGGAGAAAGGTCTGCTGGAGAATTCGTCTTTCCTGTCRCTGCTACTCAACATTATTCATCGAGCAGATCTGCTCAACCTGCTGAACACTGAAGTCAGAGAACAGGAGGAAATGGATGCTGACCCTATCCTGTCTGAGTACAGGTAAAAACAAAAAAGGCAAAATACTGGCTGTAATTAAAGGGATATTTTGTACATTTTTAAAAGGGTTTAAATTAGGGCTGGGCGGTATGACCTCAAATTCATATCACTCTATAAATTGAACCCCTCCACGGTAACGGTATA